ATAGATAGATAGATAGATAGATAGATAGATAGATAGATAGATAGATAGTTAGATAGATAGATATCAATGAGGGAGGAAACACAACTAGGAAGTGGTCAGGCTGCTTTGGTCTCCCTAACAATAACTTCAGTTGGAAGATGTGCAGCTCCATCCAGAAGTCATGCATCTGGAACGTTTTGCTCCATTGGAGTTCCAGACATACACTCCCCACGGGCTCACAGATGTCTGGGATAAGGACTACATTAGATGCATAACTTCAAAGACCCCTAACTCACATTTCATGGTGGGCATTTCTGGACACCAGAGAAGAAAGGCACATCTAGAAGCTGCAAGGCTGCAGGCAAAGCCACTGTGACATAAGGTTTAAATACTGTGGCTATGCGCACTTCAAAAATGATTCAGAAGAAATGCTTTGCGGGTTGCGGGAGTGAGTGCACAGCACCTCACTGCTATGTATTAAAGCATGAGCTTGAAAAAAGATGCTGGTGCTTTAAGGAGCTCCAAGGGGATCCACCCTCTGAGATGGAAGGAAGGTGCATTGCTTGAGGTGGGACAAGAATAGTCCATCTCTCTCCTTGGCTTTCGCTGCTGCTCCCATCTGCACGTTCCTTCCCCTGTGGCTGCAACTCACCTTCAGGCTGGCCGATAACAATGTGTGGAAGCCCAAGGTCTGGGTTCATCTCAAATGCTCAATAGTTGAAAATACAAACTCAGAGGCACTGACTCTCCAGCATCTCATGACCTACTGATCACAAGAAGTAGTGGGAGGGATGTAGATAAAAATTAAAGATTTATTCTGTCTCTCCTCTCATTCTGCTTGCTTTTCATCTAAGAGATTGCTAATCACAGGACGGTTCCTACTGTTTGCTTCCCAGGTACAGATGTATGCAACATGGGCTCTCTGACTGCTCCTGGTAGGATGTAGTTAGCTAGATGATAGGCTTTGCTGATCTATATAATGAATTTCCTTAAATAAATCATCTTTCTGTTACAGTCATAAAACTTGATTCACTAATTATTGCACAGTTCCAATTTCTGCTCAAAGGCATACATAGCACACTTCCTCCTCCAAAATTAATCAGATCAGATAAAGACCTAACGACTAGGCACACAGCATGCTGATCTTGGTTTGTTTTAATCCTGAAGAGTTCTTTATGTCTTGGCATATTGCATGAAACCAGCCTCTTTGGGAGTTTATGGTTCAAGGTACTTTATGAACGCAGAAAATGAATCAATGTGAAATGTGTTTTGTAAAATGCAGCCATGATGTTGCTGCTTTATGGTGAGATAGATCATTGTTGGTCCACCTAATACAGCTTTATCAGACCTCAAGAGGAGCTGGGAGAAGCCTTTTATTTTAATCTGTTGGGCATCTCCAGAATCTGGTTGGTGCGCAGATCTCTGATTCCCATTCAGCATGTGCATATATTAAGGGTTAAAGATTAAAACCAGTCTGTTCCTAGCTGCCCAGAGCTGAGTCATTGATTTATTACCCATTTCAGCGAGCTGGCAGCAGTGTTTCCCTCCCCTCGCCACCCCAAGTTCCTTGCAGGCATGTAATCCTCTTTTCCAGCTCTCCAAAGAATTGATAGTCTTAATTATGGACCCCAAGTCTTCACTGAAGTCCAAACAAAGCAGCAATGAGAGAGCCATTTACTATTAGGATGCTGAGAAAACCAAGTGGAAGAAACAGGCTTGGTTTCTCCAGCCTAGTGGAAAAGCTTTGGGGCATCTTCTGTGCAGTTTCAAAACTCCTGTATAGAGCACCTTTTCAGTTATGGCAGAGCCATGCTGAAAGCAATGAAGGCATTGGATGGGTACTGGGGAAACCGTGAGTTCAAGTCCCTGCTCAGCCACAGAATGTCAGGATCTGTGCAAGCAATTATTGAAAGGCTATTAGAAATTCATTAGAAAATTTATAATGTAGACAAATAGCTTG